TTAGCTTTTGGTATGCTTTTGTGCATATTATATGAAGCGTTGAAGACATCGTGGTGGATGAATCGAAAGGACCGAAGAGTGATGCCAAGGAGTTGGTGAAGAAAGAGGAGATTTGTACGTTTCGGGGGTGCGAAGGATAGCTTTCGGGGTCACGAAGAAACCCCCTCTGAAATGAAAATTACATTTTGTTTGCTTTCACGGGCTTGAAGCCCTCTTTTCACGCTGGTGAACCTTGTCGGAAAACTTTTAAACTTTATGTTTGCTTTCAATGCTGTGAAACGGTATCTTCACGGTCGTGAAAAGACGCTTTGTAGCCGAATTCTTAAGGGCTTTTTGGTACTTTTGGCTTGTCTTTTTATTGCTTTTTTAGGGTTTTTCTTATTGGGGATCGGCCGACTATTCCCTTAGAACATGATTTTTGGTTTCTCTCAAGTTCTTTGGTCGATCTTTTCAGTCTTGGGGAGGAAAATTCGGTTTGAAGCCTATGTCATTGGAACCGATTAACATCCGGTTTCATACATTATTAAGTATCTTCTTCCGTATCCCTTTAGTTTATTTGATTAACTTGTGTTTTGTCTGAATATTTTTACTTCAATCCGTCTATGTTCTTGTTTTTTAGCATGAGAAAAAATAAATGAAACATCTCATTTTTATAAATATACCCTTATTTACTTTACTGTATTGTAATTGATGGATATATGTGTAATTTTATAAATATTTTTAATTGTTATTATCTTTTTCCTTCCCTAGCTCTCCTCCCACGTTTTGGGAGGAAAGTTTTGGGAGGAAAATCATCATTATTTTCTTTTCTTTTCGCTCCTAAAAGAATTCAAGAACACGATATATTTTCTTTCCCCCTACTTTCCTTCCCTTTCCCTCTCTTTTCTTCGTAACAGAAAGACTTGAGATCCGAGTGTCAGATATGTTTGTGGCCTCATGGACCCGTTTTTGTTTTGGTGGTACCTTGTTTTGAGATACCGAAATTTCTCATCAAGATAATCAGATACATTCGCAAGAATCCCGTCAATAAACCAAACTTAAATCTTAACCGATCCTTAGTTTCGACCACATGTTTTGAGGAGTCGAGCATTTTCTTTTTAGCCAACTTTCTTACTCTCGTTTCCTCTATGTTTTTTGTGTTTTTAGGACCCCATAAAATAAATCGAGGTGTACGTAAGCTACCTGCTATCTAGACACTTATTTGTCGTAAGACTAGTAACAAAATTTATAAAGTATTTCAGATGAAATTTGTAAGTACGAGTTTCTGGTAAAGTGTGTCCCGCTTGATTTGGAGGTGTGGGTATTTTCTATTCATTATGTCCGTTATTCGTAGCTTTAATATCTTCAAGAATTTCTTGTTGATTGATACGATTGTGTGGCGTATGATCTACTGCTTTTATAGATAGTTCAATGCACTTTTGAATGAGACTTTATAATGGTGGTTACTTGTCTTGTCTAAATATCATTAAGCCATTGTCTCTTTTACTCGTCGTCTTTTATACCACTAAATGTCGGTCGTCGCAAGATGTCTTATGTCTCAATAGTCGTTCATTATCAGTCTTTTTACGTCATTCGTATAGTCTAAAATATACCCTAACAAAAGAGTAGGAACATTTAAAAGAGAGAAATAGGGAGATGGTTTAATAAAGGTGAATCATTTTTTTTTTATTAACCTGGATATCCAACCTGCTATGCGAGCCAACTAATCTCAGGAGACTCGACGTTTTGATAAACAAACCACAATGTGTGGAGATTTTGATGGTGTATTCCCCTTGAGGAATCTATTTGATGATTAAGACACTATTAATGTATCCGGTTTTATAAACCATTTAGAAAACAAACATTACTGTGTTATAATGTACTTTAAAGACATAAATAATATGATTTCACTTGGAAGATGAAATGATTTTTTGAGTCAATCATACTTTTTTGATAGGGAGGGGGGAGACCCCTCCAGATCAAGGCAAAACACTAAAACGCTAAAAGCAGACAATAACACGCTCGGGTGGGAGGAAACCTCAACTTTTGGGAGCATGCATTTGCATAACCATTAGTTAAATGCTTTTTAATGTTTAGGATGACTTTTATTGAATAGTCAATTGTGTTGTTGAGCTTTTGGCTCGGTTTTGACTCAAGTGAGTTTTATGGGACAATTGTCTGGTTTATTTTTCTCTATATCGAGCCTTTGGAGTTTTCTGCAGTTATGACATATTTATTTGAGATTTTACATGTTTTGAGTGCATGGTCATTCATTTGGGGTCAAGTACTTTAGATTGTAATGCAATGGATCCATAGGCATATTAGTCGTTTTGAATAGGATAAACATTCCCCTAATGTAATGTAAAATAGGCATTGGGTCTTCATAGGCAATATGGTGTGGGCTCTTTGAGTCGGCATCGAACATTGACCGACATAATGTAATTTCTTGTGAGTGACGTTAACTAGGATTTTTGGAGATCCCAAGGTGTTGACCTAATGTGGTTGAACTTGGTGACTACACAAGCAATAGACTTGGAGTAGTTGAGCTTGTTAACTCATTAAACTATAGACCTAGAGTGGTTGATCCTAATAAATGAGTAATTCGTAATTGATGCTCATATAACATAGATATGTGAGCTATTTTTGTGTTTTGTCACATTCAATGGTATCAGGTCTCCTCCTTCACTGAAAGGTGAGTTTGGGATATGATATTTTATCCATGTTTTTTTTTGTCGTTTTGGGTATGAAAAGTATCCACGATTTGACGCTTCATATGTCGTTTATTCTTCATATTTGGTTGCTTTGGGATACTTGAGTTTTATTCATGTTTTCGATATTTGAACTTGGTTGTGTGAGTATTAGGTTTTGGTTTCATATAAATGGGTGTTTTAATTTATGAGTTTTCATCATGAAAATGGTGGATTGCGGAAAAAGTTGTTTTTACGATAAAAATGTTTCATTTGCGAATATATGATTTGAATAAGAAGTCTTCCAGTTTTACAGTTTCATGATTATGATGAAAATTGCTTGAATTCACTAAGCGTTAAGCCCAACTTTTTTTGTTTGTAAGCATGTGTACCAGGTCCTTGTTAGGGCATGGTACTAGCGACACTCGGACAAATTGATTGTTAGTTAGAGGCACGAGAAGAATCCAACTATTCGATGACCTCTTCTGCATTTGGACATGGCGACTGTTATTGGGTTTTAGTAACAGCTAATCTTAACCTAGACTTTATGTAAGACTTGACTGATTATTTGTTGATGTTAAATCTAGGTTCGCTATCAAAGGAAATCAAGTATTTTGTTGTAGAAAGGGATTTATCCTGTATTTGATGTATTTATTGGAAATTTTAAATTAGTCGATCTTTCTAGATTCAAGGGTGCTACATCAATGTACCTTCGTCCTTGTAGTGATAAAGACAAATATTATCAGCAAGAATATCGATAGACGTTGACGTTCAACTATTGATACCTTTAGTTGATGGTTCAGCTCATCTGTCTGAGGTTTCATCTGCTTGTGTACAACATTCGTTGTAAGTGAATTCAGGTTCATCAGGTGATAAAACTTCCATATGATATTTTCATCTGATGTTCAACACATGTATGATGATCTAGAATGATCTGCTTCACTTGTCAGCGTAAGCTCCCGTCTTCACCTGATAGTAGTTCTTTCATTTGTTTAGCAACATATGATCTATCAGTTGATACATGCGTATCAACTGATCTCTATCATATGAAGTTCCTCTAAAAGGTACATTCTTTGATAAACTTAATTGGCTAAGTGTTTATTACATAGTTTGTCAATCATCAAATCTTCCAAACTGTTAGGGACTCAACAGAATGGTACCGTACCATGTTGTTTTCTTTTATACCATGTTCCAACCAACTATAATTCATATGGAAAATTCTATACCATGTAGGCATGTACTAACCAACTATACCTAGTACCAACTTAATTAGTACCCAAAAAAAATTCGGTTGGTACATGTTACTATTGGTTCTGTACCGACATTGCAAAAGTTGTTGTCAAGTTACAATGCTCAATAGCCAATTTAGGGGGTGTTTGAGATTGTTTATAAAAACAACTTATTGACTTGTTCCAATGTGGCACCGGTAATAAGCATTTTTGAGTGTTTGGATAAACAACTAATACCGGTGCCAAACCGGTAATAAGAATTTTTTAAAGAACCTAAACCCTTCTGACTTATAACAAGTATTGCTTTTATAAAAAAAAACTGTAACGCCCCAACCCACACATTGCATGTAATACATATTTCATACCAAAGAAATACATATTCATATACATTCGGGTCCACHAGTACAARAAATCTACTATGACCAAACACAAGGTCCAAAAATTCAAAATACAATCTTGTACTAATCATCAGAGCTATGCATCAAAAGCAAATCTTCAACCAAAATGCACG